GTGGTGTGGTATTCATCATGCTGTGGTGCTTGGTATAGTGTGATGATTTTGTGGTGTGTCAAGTGATGTGTGTTGATCTTGTCATGTGCTATTCACTCAGTCACAAGCTGGCCTGCCGTGATGCATTTACAAACTTTAATTGTTTAAGTATTGTAATTTATACGTGATTGTCACATACTGGTCTCAGTTATGCACCACATGCAAGAATAACTCTTCATGTTGAATTAGTTTTTCTCATCAATACTACTCGTCGAAATCAGTGGCTATGTCAACGATAAAACTTTTTGTCCCTTGTCAATAACAGTTAACAGTGTCGTGATCAACTCGAAATTGAGTAAGTTGAATCATTCATCCAGAGTTGAATCAGTGCTCATGATCTACTGAGGAATGAACTGCTCATGATCTACTGAGGAATGAACTGCTCATGATCTACTGAGGAATGAACTACTCGTGATCTACTGAGGAATGAACTGCTCATGATCTACTGAGGAATGAACTACTCATGATCTACTGAGGAATGAACTGCTCATGATCTACTGAGGAATGAACTACTCATGATCTACTGAGGAATGAACTACTCATGATCTACTGAGGAATGAACTACTCCTGATCTACTGAGGAATGAACTACTCATGATCTACTGAGGAATGAACTACTCATGATCTACTGAGGAATGAACTACTCATGATCTACTGAGGAATGAACTACTCATGATCTACTGAGGAATGAACTACTCATGATCTACTGANTGCATTACATGCACTGCGCACATGTGTGTGCATTACATGCACTGCGCACATGTGTGTGCATTACATGCACTGCGCACATGTGTGTGCATTACCTGCACTGCGCACATGTGTGTGCATTACCTGCACTGCGCACATGTGTGTGCATTACCTGCACTGCGCACATGTGTGTGCATTACATGCACTGCGCACATGTGTGTGCATTACATGCACTGCGCACATGTGTGTGCATTACATGCACTGCGCACATGTGTGTGCATTACATGCACTGCGCACATGTGTGTGCATTACCTGCACTGCGCACATGTGTGTGCGTTACATGCACTGCGCACATGTGTGTGCGTTACATGCACTGCGCACATGTGTGTGCATTACGTGCACTGTGCACAAGTGAGCATTACGTGCACTGTGCACAAGTGAGCATTACGTGCACTGTGCACAAGTGTGCGCATTATCTGCATCACATAAATCTTGAATATAATAAGAACTCGCTGTAGTAAATCTCGAGTTTAATTCAGTGCCGAACTTGCACTTGCCAATCTAACCTGTTCTTTATGTTCATGTATATTATTGGATCACATTTCCTCATACACACGGGCAGGCAAATCTGAATATTGCATTTATAACTATCGTAATTTTGCCCATGACTGACATTAAGATGATAGATAATGTGAAGCGATCGCTCAGGGCACCTCTATTCTGTACCAAATTGCCGACTTCTTCATAGGTTTTCTTTTTCTGAAGCCAGCATTTCATTAGCATCTTCACTTTTTAATGAGTATGCATTAGTTTAAGTATTGATATCGCCATTTGACGTGGCTTTGTAGTTGATATAATGTATTCTGGGTCATGTGCATCAAACCAATTGCTTCTTCTCGTTATAAAATCATGATGAAATAAGCGAACGTCGCACTTGTCGAGAGTCACGAAATTTCGTTTACTAATCATGATCAGTCAGTATAGGCTATGTCTTTTCTTATAGCATATTTAGTTTGTTAGAATGTTTCTCTAAAATCTCTCTTACCCCTGCGTGGATCTTTTTCCAACAGTAGAATCTAATATGATTATATAATAGTTAACTAAATTAACTATACAACTGTCATACTGGTGTATCAAGCTTTGAATATTGCACGTACAGTGTGCAACCTAATGTAGATATTCCATTAGTTTTGTATTGTTTAGTCGTGACACGTATTAAGAGTGTATAAAATGATATAATGGGCTCATTTAAAGCATTTGTTATGCTACGTACGTTGACTCGGAATATTGTATGTATATATATAGGTACGCTTAACGTATCTTCACTTATAACTTGAATTCTAACTTTCACTAACCAACTTGGAAATATTGTGTGTTGAAATGTCTGTAAATTCAATGCAATAGGTGCTGATTTGTCATTCTTCTTTTTTTTTCATGTTGCCTCCAGGACTTAGACGTGAGTATTAATTATCTATTAATTACTTAGTGTTTAATAGGTAGACTGCACACACTGTGTAGGAACTGCGTTTGTTGTAACTAGTCTAGTTTATCTTGCTAGCCAACGAATTTTTTAGATTATTAAATATGCTGTTATTCTCGACACATGTTGTGAATATTAGATTACAAAGAAACATTAGTTTCAGTATGAGATGCGTTGATTGAAGCTTGTTATTTTGAGTCATCGAGGTTGAATTTTCTTTATTCAGGGATGTTGCTGAGAGTATGTTTCCGGAGTTGACTATTGCTGGTTTCGTTGTCGTGTTGTAGATGTCGTTCTTCACCAGCTTCCATATCATTATTCTATCGCTCCGTTATCATTTTCTTCGCGTGTATATCATTCCTTTAGTTCTTTTATTCTCTTGCTTTGATATCATTCTCCTATCACTTCAATATCATTCATCTCCCACTTCTATATATCATTCTTCTGTCGCTTCTTTTGGCCGCATTGTCGCCTGTCTGCCTGTCCTTGTTGCGTGTTTTTGTTTCCGTTATTCATACGCGCTTCTTTGTTGTTGTTCCTCCCCTTTGTCTTGTTTCCCTGTTCCCCTCACATCCAAAACTCTATCATTCCCATTCCTCATGTCTCTCCTCTCCATAAGTTCTAAATGATAATGATGATTATCGCATTCATTAGATTGTACCTACCTCGGTTACAACCCTCCTGCCAAATGACGTTGAAACGACGTTAATTCAACGTTAATTCAGCGTAAAATGCCTTTTGGGAAGCTTACTTACACAATTCCAGCTTGTAGCTGTGTAACAAAGCTGTTATTACTTCCTTCTCTTGTTGATTATGGTCGACGTTCCTTAACCCGCAACCTGCTCTCATAATGCTTATATTATATCCCATTCTATTTTGTTCTTGCTGTTCGTTTTAGCACCTAGTTTCAATCTAATACGTCGGCACTCTTACACTCTTAAACACACATCAGAACTTTAATAATAGAAGACTGCTTCTATTAACATCGTCTCCGCCGCCGCAACCTTCTCATCTCCGCCATTACTTCGTCTTTCACTCAAACTCAACCTATCGAAACTCGTTCATATAATTTGGCATTAGATTTAGTGCTCCTTCAAATGGCTACTCCCCCCGTCCCTCAAGTTATTACCCCTCTCTCACCACCCTCTGCCCTCCCCCCCTCCTCCACCCCGCTATTGATTGTTGCTGGGTCGGCCAGGTGAACTGCCCGTCTTGTTGTCGTTGTTGCTGTTGTTGTCAATGCTGTTGTTGCTCTTATTGTTGTCGTTGTTGCTGTTGTTGCTCTTATTATTGTCGTCGTTGTTGTTGTTGTCAATGCTGTTGCTGCTCTTATTGTTGTCGTTGTTGCTCTTATTGTTGTCGTCGTTGTTGTTGTTGTCAATGCTGTTGCTGTTCTCATTGATTGTTGTCGTTGTTGCTGTTGTTGTCAGTGCTGTTGTTGCTCTTATTGTTGTCATTGTTGCTGTTGTTGTCAATGCTGTTGTTGCTCTTATTGTTGTCATTGTTGCTGTTGTTGTCAATGCTGTTGTTGCTCTTGTTGTTGTCGTTGATACTGTTGTTGTCAATGCTGTTGTTGCTCTTATTGTTGTCGTTGATACTGTTGTTGTCAATGCTGCTGTTGCTCTTGTTGTTGTCGTTGATGCTGTTGTTGCTCTTATTGTTGTCGTTGATGTTGTTGTTCTTATTGTTGTCGTTGTTGCTGTTGTTGTCAATGCTGTTGTTGCTCTTATTGTTGTCGTTGTTGCTGTTGCTGTCAGTGCTGTTGTTGCTCTTATTGTTGTCATTGTTGCTGTTGTTGCTCTTATTGTTGTCGTTGATGCTGTTGTTGTCAATGCTGTTGTTGCTCTTATTGTTGTCGTTGTTGCTGTTGTTGTCAGTGCTGTTGTTGCTCTTATTGTTGTCATTGTTGCTGTTGTTGTCAATGCTGTTGTTGCTCTTATTGTTGTCATTGTTGCTGTTGTTGTCAATGCTGTTGTTGCTCTTATCGTTGTCATTGTTGCTGTTGTCAGCAACAAATATTACAGAAAAAACTGGTGAACCAGTTACCGAGCTGTGAAATGAAGAGTAGCTTTAATATGAGGAAGCTTCATAGTAACTGTTAGTGAAGACAATGTCGCAGTGCAATGAAATATTCAGAATAGTAGCATAAGCACACAAATGTACCTAGTACCAGAGTCCTGCAACCATTTAATGATTATCAGTATTATAAGGCAGTAAAAGCTAGTACCGTATTATAGAGGCTGTAAGGCTAGTTAGTAAGCAACAATATAAATATTCATAGATAGTCAGCAGCGTATAGGCAGTAAGCCAGACGACCAGTTACTCAGTGGTAGTAACGCAGTGGCAGTAAAGTATAGTCAGTAAGTCCCACCATGCAGTGGCAGTAACATAGAGGTCGTTAAGTAGTCAGTAAGCAACGAGACCACCATGCAGTGGCAGTAACATAGAGGTAGTTAAGTAGTCAGTAAGCAACCAGACACACCATGCAGTGGCAGTAACATAGAGGTAGTAAAGTAGAACAGAGGCAGTTAAGTAGTCAGTATGCAACCAGACACACCATGCAGTGGTACTAACATAGAGGCAGTAGAGTAGAGCATATAGGTAGTTAAGTAGTGAGTAAGCAACAAGACGAGCAGCTTAGGATAAGGTATGCGTTTGTATAGCCGCTGGGTGACGACGACGACGCGTCCTCCCTGAACGGCGACGACAAGGACCACGTTGAGTGAGGGCAAGATGTATGGTGAGTGAGGGCAAGATGTGTGGTGAGTGAGGGCAAGATGTATGGTGAGTGAGGGCAAGATGTATGGTGAGTGATGAGGTGTGAGGGTAGGAGGGTGTGGTGAGTGCTGGAGTTAGGGTTGGAAGGGGGTGAGGGTAGGCGGTGTGGTTAAGGTAGCATGTACATATAAGATTTAATGAATTTACGTGTATTACTTGGTAAGGTGAACGCACTTAGCGAGGTCAAGTTATATTATGTGAAGAGAGACAAAAGTAATCTGCATCAATTACGATTACCAGTCATAAATGCTCTTGCTGCAATTGTCTGCGATCGTTGCACGCACCACTAATTCTATTAATATTCGCCTGTCTGTACATAAATATTGTATGTCATGAACCTCGTTTGATTTTAATGAACTTGAATAAATAAAGCCAAAAATTTCGTCCCGTAACCGAAAAAGACATTATAGTTAGCGCGGCGCAATAAGCCGGCATTATTTTGGCCGCGCGCCGTTATTGGTCTAATTGTAGCCTGCGCTGGAGGGCTTTTAGTGCTACGCGAGACCTTGTCTTGCGTCTCGCGAGACTCGTGATCTTTTAATTTGTCTCGAGGGCAATTTGGGGAACTCCTCCGCCCCGCTTTTGCTTCCCTTAAATTAGTTTTGCTTTGCGTCGTCATTCGCTGCGGCGGCGACCGGCCTCTTCAGGGCACATGTCTCCTTGTGGCCCAGCTTGTTGACAGGGATTTATTTTAGTTCTTCAGAATGATTTAGTTGTGCTTTTCGTGATTTATTCCCTAAGATGTGCGCTCGGTGGCGGGAATTGTCAAGTGCTATCAATATGAGGTCACTCAACGTGACATAAAACATCAGTGGTTACTAGTTCCACTATAAAGAAAGGCGAGAAATTTGTAGATGACAAATCCCAACTTTGCGGTTGTTTCCGCAATCTTTAATGGAGTCGATTTAGAGTGATTTTAATCAATCCATATCGATTTTATTTACTGCCTGCAATACGTAGAATTTACAAGTACAATTCAGGTTAATTGAATCGTATCCGTCTGCGAATCCGTTTATGCGTTCTCAGGAAATCTCCCAAGGCACGGTGCTTCATAAGATATATTGCAACTGATAAGCATTTATACCCACGTCATTATTTCGCTATTAGCTTTTGACGTAAATGCGTTATAGTGAGTTCGTGACGACATTATTGAGTTTCAATGTGATGGCAGGGTAACTCATGTATCGGCTGTTCGCTCGCTTAATTTCAACATGAAATTATATTTTCATGTTGAATTATTTCATATATTTCATATTTCATATATGAGATTAAATGCAAGAGTTTTGTTAGACTATTGGCTTGTTGCGATGTTGCTTGTAACCATCATCCAAGTTGACGAGACACGTTTTTTCACTCGCTAGTTTATGCCACGTTCTCATTTCACCTCGTTAAGTTAGAATTAAATTTCACCGTCTCAACGTGACTCAGAATTTGTCAACGCTTCCACCAACCTGATGACAGAAACACCCATTTTAATACAGAAACATCCTGTTGTGTCTCTGGTCATGTCGGCTGATTCATTATTTTCCTCGTATAATGAGGAGGCAGGTGTAATTGAGCCTAGCCAGTGCTTGGGGTTGTTGTTCTCAGTTGCTACTAAATGTGCATCAGTTCATCCTCATGCTTCGTTTGTTTACAGCGATGAGTCATCTCTAGCACCTGTGCCTATAGAGCTCGTGCTAGTCCATCACTGCAGCTCAAGCTTTTCTAGTAGTTTCGTATGCAACTACGCAGTCTTTACTCTGGGCGCCTAACGCTATTTTCGCTATTTAGTTACAAACTACTTTGTATTTGCTCACTTCAACATGACAATTAGCTTGTTACTAGTTATCTTTCACAATACTCCGAATAAAAATAATAATAATTAATAATTATAGTAAAACTCCTTTATGAACATTTAATAATAGCTTGATCTAAACTCATGGTTAGCAATTTTTAAGAACGCATCTAATCGCCATAGTGAAACTCTCGTAACTAAAGGAGGGATTAATGGGAGCACGTGAGTAGGATATAGCTTTGCACCACACAGTAATATACGAAGCTTTGCACCACACAGTAAAATGCAGCTCTGCACCACACAGTAAAATGCAGCTCTGCACCACACAGTAAAATGCAGCTCTGCACCACACGGCGAACATAAGCTCAATTTTAGCCCGTGTTAGGCTGTGTTTAAGCCTCAATTTTAGCCTGCGTTAGGCTGTGTTTAAGCCTCAATTTTAGCCCAAGGCTGGCGCGTCAGAAAGGACGGCGATGCGCTTGCGTGCATTGGTGTGCGCTCACGGCCAGGCGACGCGTGGTTGCGTCGCGCCCTCGCCGTCTGATCGTTTATTGCTCGTCTGTGGTGGCTTTTTGCTGCTTCCTTGCCGCCACAACTTATTGCTTCTTCAAGCCCCACCACGTCTTCAAGTCTTATTCTCGTCTCTTTATCCTCCGCATTCGGGGATAAAATCTATACTTGTTATCCTATCTATCATTTGTTATCCTTTTATCTTTGAAATCTATCCTTAAGTTCTTTGTGCCTCTCATAAATGTTTGCGTTCAGACATAAATCTTACTAGTATTGCTACTGTATATTCGTGTGATAATTACGTCACTTCATTAATTATTTACTTAACGATCTCCTCAGCATATGAATGACTTCAAATGAGAACTCGAGACATTTTACTTATAGCTCCCAATCAAAGCATTCGCGATATTCTTGTCTAAATTTATTTATGGAATTTTTTATTCGTGTGTTGGCCGTGAGTGAACCTTCTGTATTCGTCCGTATTTTTTCGTCCGTATATGGTCTATAGTTTTTCGTGTGTTATCTTCCATATTCTACTTACAATCCTTCTTAAATCGCGTGCCTCGCTCCTTTACTCATGTGTGGTTCTTATTATCTTTTTATAGGTGTCTAGTCTCCCAATTATCCCTGTGTATTATCCCATTATTCTTATATATTCCTGCCCCCTATTCCTTGTATATTGCCCCTCTTATCCGTGCATATTCCTCCCCTTATCCGTTACTCCCCTTATCCGTTCCTACCCTTATCCGTTCCTACCATTATCCGTTCCTACCCTTATCCGTTCCTCCCCTTATCCGTGTATATTCCCTTTGTGTTATCCGTGTATATTACTCCTTATCCGTGTATATTCCCCTTGTGTTATCCGTATACATGCCTGCTGCGAGCCTCAGAGCTGCGGTAGACGCTGCTCTAGGCAGCCCTATAGGGCCATGCATGCACTAGGGTCGTCTAATAAATTGTGTGCGTCTCAATACGGCGACGTAATGAAACCTACGCCACCCTGCGCTGAAAAATTACCACACCTTTACGCGTCTCAAACTAGCGTCGTCATGCCGAGTTTTCTGGTCGTATCGGACGCGCGGTTGTTACATTGCATTTGAATCAATATATGTACGTACTAAAATAGTCTACTTGATTATTTTAGTTTCATTTTTTTTTTTTGTATTTGCCAGGTGTGAAACGGACGAATTTGAGCTTGTATACGTAATTTTAGACCTTGTTGATGACAGGCATTTCTGTTTAATTGGTCATTTGATATCCTGAATTCTCATGAGCCTAGATGCCTGCGTGTGTTGAGTGCTGCATTCTTAACTATTAGATCAACACCCTTCTAATTTTGAGCGTTTCAATATATTGCCGAATTTTACTGATAGAAGAAAACATGCGGTTTAGCTGAGCCAGAATTTAGAATAAAATTTAGGTTTGTCACTTGAATAGCACTTTTCAATTGCATACGTAAACAAGGCATTAGAGAATTTGTTCGCGTTGATGATTGTGCAGAAACTCGTCTTTTATAAGTGTGCTGTGATGCAGACAGAGATTCACCAGGAGATGCTGGCAGAGATGCACCAGGAGATGCTGCAGAGATTCACCAGGAGATGCTGGCAGAGATTCAACAGGGGATGCAGACAGAGATTTAACAGGGGATGCAGGCGGAAATTCAACACGGGATGCAGGCAGAGATTCAACACGGGATGCAGGCAGAGATTCAACAGGGGATGCAGGCTGCGTGCTGCTGCTGTCGTGCTGACGAGCGCTCGTGCTGCTGCCGTCATGCTGACGAGCGCTCGTGCTGCTGCCGTCGTTCTGACGAGCGCTCGTGCTGCTGCTGTCGTGCTGACGAGCGCTCGTGCTGCTGCTGTCGTGCTGACGAGCGCTCTTGCTGCTGCAGTCGTGCTGACGAACGCTCGTGCTGCTGCAGTCGTGCTGACGAGCACTCGTGCTGCTGCAGTCGTGCTGACGAGCAGCTCGTGCTGCTGCAGTCGTGCTGACTCATCATGCCAGCACATTGTTAACTCAAGTTTTAATGCATTGGCCGCGCATTTATTTCATCTGACGCTGAAATTTAGCTTCTCTGCTTACGTATAGCAATCGAAAGTATATTTTTCTGTCGCCTCTAAACAGAGCATGTAGAAGCCATTCCGCTTTATAACGTCCTTTATAAATGCAGTGTGAGACCATCAAATTTTTACGAAGATATGTCTTATTATTCGACATTGCACGCGATATCCTCATTCGACATCGTTTACAGGGACATCAAATATGACTGGACATTGCTTGTCTATGGATAGCTGTCGGATAAATATTTTAATTGTTGGATAAAACATATTTTTCTCTATGCTTTCTGCTACTGTAATGTTGTGTAAATTTCTGGTGAGGATAATATCAGAACGTGTGGTGAACACGCACCAAGAACAGAATTTTTGTTGCGGCCAAACAAAACTTGTGATTTAAGCAGAAAAATTGCATATATATTTATTACTAATATGTTTTCAAGGTGTTCAGTGATTTAATATGTTGTATAAGTGTTCTAGGATTGTGTTATCCCTCAATAGGATGAAGGGTAGGATTACCATGGGTCACGGTGAGGTCAGGCCACGCCTGCTACCCTCACTCGACGCCTCGCATTGGCTGCCCTCGGGCCCAAAACTTGACGCCGTCGCTCCTCCTACCCTCGATCCTGACGCTTCCATGATGCCAGTTCTCTGGATCTCCACTTGCATTTCCAGCAGCCTAACTCG